AACATTTAATCCAACATCAAGGGAATCCATGTAATTCTCAAGTGCATGCAGACCATTCCCCAGCATAGATTATTTTGTATGTTAGACTACAAAAAAGTCTTAACAAAATTAAGACTATTGAAGTCAATCAAGTATCTTTTCTGACCACCATAGTATGAAACCAGAAATTGATAACAGGAGAAATCCTAAAAAATTCACCAATATGCAGAAATTGAATAACATACTCCTAAACAACCAACGGGTCACTGAAGAAGTCAAAAAGGAAATAGAGACAAATGAAAATGGAACTACAACATGGAAAAACTTATAAGTACTTTTCTGCATGGTATAAGAAGGAATTGTGTAGTAACAAATGTCTATATCAATTAACAAAACTCAGTCTAGCTGACTAAGCTCAAGTTAGCCAAAGACAGGAAATAACAAAGATCAGAGCAGAAATAAAATAGAGACAAGAAACAATGAAAAACGATGAAACCGAAAGTTGTTTTATTGAATAAACAAAGCCAACAAAGCCTTTCCTAGACTAGGAAAAAAGAAAGAAGATTCAAATAAATAAAATGGGAGGTGAAATGGGAGACATGACAAATGATACCACAGAAATACAAAGGACCGTAAGACACTAGTATGAAAAGGTATACGCAAACAAAATGGATAATCTAGAAGTGGACAAATTTCTAGACACACACAACCTACCAAGACTGAATAATGTATCATGAAGAAACAAATTCAGAACAGACCAATAACAAGTAAGGAGCGTGATTCAGTAATAAAAAGTCTCCCATCAAAAAGAAGCCAGGACTCGATGGCAACACCACTGATTTCTACCAAACATTTAAAGAACAAATACCAATCCTTCTCACGCTTTTCCAAAAAATCAAAGTGGAGGCAATGCTTTCAAACTTATTTTACCCAGCCAGCATTACCCTGCTCCAAAACCAGACAAGGACAGTACAAGAAAAGAAAATTACAAGCCAGTATCTCTGATGAACAAAGATGCAAAAATCCTCAACCTAATACCAGTAAACCAAACTAAACAACACATTAAAAAATTATTCACCTTGATCAAGGCAGGATTTACCCCCGAGTAGCAAATCCTGGCACAACATATGTAAATCAATAAATGAGATAAAAATGAACAGAATGAGGGTCAAAAACCATATAATCATCTCAATAGGTGCAGAAAAGTCATTTGATAAAATTCAACATTCTTTTGTGGTGTAAAACAAACCAAACACAACTCTCAAAACTTTAGGTATAAAGGGAATGTATCTCAACACAATAGAAGCAATAATAACCCTCCATATTTGCAGATTCCACATTCACGGATTCAACCAACCATGGGTCAAAAATACAGAATTTGTGGGATGTGGAACCCACAATACAAAGTGCTGGCTTTCTGTATCCACTGGTACCACAGACTAACCACAGGACTCGAGCATCCACAAATTCGGGGATGTGTAGGGGGTCCTGGAACCAATCCCCCAAGTAAACTGAGGGATGACTGTCTCTGACAAACCCACAGCTAACATCATATTCAACAGTGAAAAGTTGAAAGCTTTTCCTGTAAGATCAGGGACAAAACAAGGATGCCCACCCTTACTACTCCTTTTCAACACAGTACTGGAAATTCTATCCAGAGCAATTAGGCAAGAGAAAGAAATAAAAGGCATCCTAATATGGAAAGAAATAAAATTGTTTCTGTTTGCTGACAACATGATCTTATATATAGATGACCCTAAAGACTCCACACCAAGAAATTATTATAACTGATAAAAAAATTCAATAAAGTTGCAGGATTCAAAATTAACATACAAAAAATCAGTAGTGTTTTCATATACTAATAATAAACTATATGAAAATGAAATTAAGAAAGTGCTCTGATTTACAATAGCAAACAAAAATAAAATACTTAGGTAAAAATTTAACCAAGAAAGTGAAAGACCTGTATGATAAACACTGTTGAATGAAATTGAAGAAAACACAGTAGAAAGATATTCTGTGTTCTTGGATTAGAATAATTAATATTATTAAATGCCCATACTACCCCAAATGATCTACAGATTCTGTGCAATTCTTATCAAAATTACAATGTCCTTTTTCACAGTAATAGAAAATAATTCTAAAATTCATACAGAACCACAAAATACCCCAAATAGCCAAAATAATATTGAGCAAAAAGAACAAAGCTGGAGGCATCACACTCTGATTTCAAAATATATAATAAAACACTTATTATCAGAACAGCATGGTACATGCACAAAAATGGACATATCAACCAATGGAACAGGACAGAGTGTGCAGATATAAATCCATACATTTATGGTCAATTGATTTTTTTACAATGGTGTCAAGGACACCATTGCAAGGAAAGGATGGTCTATTCAATAAACGGTGCTGGGGAAACTGGGTATCTACATGCAGAAGAATGAAATTCGACCCTTATTTTAAATATAAACAAAAACCAACACAAAATTCATTTAAAAATGTAAGACCTAAAACTAAAACTACTAGAAGAAAACATAGGCGAACATCTCCATTACTTTGGTCTGGGCAATGATTTTTTTTTTTAATATGTCCTCGAAAGCACAGGCAACAAAAGCAAAAATAGGCAAACAGGATTGCATCACACTGTAAAGCATCTCCAGGAAATAATACTAATAATTGAAACCTAGATGACAGGTTGATATGTGCAGCAAACCACCATAGCACATGTATACTTGTGTAACAGATCTGCACGTTTTGCTCATGTATCCCAGGACTTACAGTAAAATTTGTTTAAAACATTACACAATAAAAATATCAGAAGTCTACCTACGTTTCCAGAAAGTGGCCTTAAATATAACAATGATTTTGTAAAGATTTGATCCATGTTCACAGGGTGAGCATTTTTCAACAACTCTTATCTGTTGTTAAACCAACAAGATCTAAATATCCCTCCTACTTAGTGGAGACAAGACTCAGTTCTCTACTAAACAATCTGTGAAGGAACAAAGGACTTCATATTGGCATCAGAGTGCAGAAGAAAAAACGTTTTGTGGAGATCGAGACCATCCTGGCTAACACGGTGAAACCCCGTCTCTACTAAAAAATACAAAAAACTAGCCTGGCGCGGTTGTGGGCGCCTGTAGTCCCAGCTACTTGGGAGGCTGAGGCAGGAGAATGGCGGGAACCCGGGAGGCGGAGCCTGCAGTGAGCTGAGATCCGGCCACTGCACTCCAGCCTGGGCGACAGAGCGAGACTCCGTCTCAAAAAAAAAAAAAAAAAAAGAAAAGAAAGAAAAAAGGAAAAAGAAAAAAGGTTTTGTTCCCAAATCAAAGGAATGACAAACTACAAATATATACTTACTATTTTTCATTTAGACTTTGTTCAATATCAAATTTAAAATACTATCTCCAATAGCATATGTTTGTGTTATAATAGAGGCATAATCCACATAATAAAACAAAATTTTTGATCATCTTTCTGCAACTGATTTTTCTCAAATCTGGCCAGCTTTACAGTGATCTATGTGACCTGCTTGGCCCCATGAAAATGCGGGTTTACAAACTCTGCTCTCCACTTTCTGGTTGTATCTGAAGCAAATCATAATTCAAGCTCACAATGAGAACTAGGAGGAAGATATGAAGGAAACTGTCATTATTAACTAAAAAGTGACTGGAACGGAATAAAACAGAGAGGAGTTAAGACTCTACAGCCCCAAGACACAGCATAGTCATGATCTCTAAACTCAAACTCCCTGGGTTCAAATCTTAACTATATCACTGACATTTTATGTGATATTGGACAGTAAATTAATTTTTTTTTTTTTTTTGAGACAAAGTCTCACTCTGTTGCCCAGGTTGGAGTGCAGGGGCATGATCTTGGCTCACTGTAACCTCTGCCTCCCAGGTTCAAGCGATTCTCCTGCCTCAGCCTCTCGAGTAGCTGGGATTACAGGTGCGTGCCACCATGCCTGGCTAATTTTTGTATTTTTAGTAGAGGCGGGATTTTGCTATGTTGGCCAGGCTGGTCTTGAACTCCTGACCTCAGGTGACCCACCCACTTCAGCTTCCCAACGTGCTGGGATTACAGGCATGAACCACCGTGCCCGGCCTCTGTCTCTTTATTCATAAACTTGAGATAATCATGGAACCAACTTCATAGTGTTGGTATGTGAGTAGGCTGTGAAAGTGCCTTACACAGAGAAAATCACCCAATAAGGGTTTACTGTTTATTATCTCTTTTACAGACAGGTTGTTCTGATCGAGGTCTGGAAAATGATGTAAAAATCAAAGGATAGAATGATGTGAGGATATGTATGCAGAGAAGGAAATAAGAAATGCTTTTATTCGACAGCAAAGGGTAAGGTATTGGGAGTCCAGATAGGAGCACATGTGCTCTGTAAGACACAGAATGTTGGGGTTTTTCCTTTCTTCATTTGAGAATGTCATTGAAAATTCTTGAGCTGGATAAAAACAAAGATTACAGTGCTGTTTAAGAAGTTAATTCTCAAGGCCGAACGCGGTGGCTCACGCCTGTAATCCAGTACTTTGTTGAGGCTGAGGCGGGTGGATTCCTGGAGATCAGGGGTTCGAGACCAGCCAGGCCAACATGTGAAACCCCGTCTCTACAAAAATACAAAAATAAGCAGGGCATGATGGTGCGTGCCTGCACTGCCAGCTACTTGGGAGGCTGAGGTGGGAGAATTGCTTGAACCCGAAGTGGAGGTTGCAGTGAGCTGAGATCGTTCCACTGCACTCCAGCCTGGGAGACAGAGTGGGACTCTGTCTCAAAAAAAAAAAAAGAGTTAATTACCAACTAATATGGATAATAGGTGTTGGCACAAAGATATTTAAAGTTTATTTTCAAGCTTCAATTCCACCTGGGAAGGGAGGAAGAAGCATACTTAGCACCTGGCTGCCCCCAACTTCACTCCAAACACAGCTCTGTTGTCATATTTTTCATATGCCTTTAGCATAGAGTTTTGTTTAAACAAAAGGTTTAGTGATCTTAAAAAATCTTTAAGCCACTGATTTAGAGTGGTATTTCATTGTCAACATTACTACACCTACTAAATTCAATAATGGTAAAATCCCAACTATTACTATTTTCAAGAAAAAGAAATTTTCTTTGTGCTGAAGACTCTGCCCAGGGCAGGGCTCCCCTCATATCTCTGTCCTCAGGCTGCAGATGAAGGGGTTCCGCATGGGGTCACCACAGTGAACACCACAGCCATGACAGTGCCCTTCCCAGCGCTATGATTCGTCGATGGGCACAAATAGAGACCAATCGTTGTCCCATAGAAGAGAGACACCACAGACAGGAGGGAGCCACAGGTGGAGAAAGCCTTCTGGATGCCCCCAGCAGAAGGGGCCCTGAGGATGGTGGAGACAATTCTTGCACAGGACATGATGAGGAGTAGGAATGGGATGACAAGGATGAGGCCTCCCCTGAAAAATATCACCAACCCATTGACTTGCATGTTGGAGCAGGCCAGCTTCAACAACAGAGATGTATCACAGAAAAAGTGAGGAATCACATTGTCAGCACAGAAGGACAGCCTGGTCATGAGCAAGGTGCAATGTGTGGCATGGGCAGTGGTCAGCAGCCAGGAGAGTGCCAGCAGAGCAAGGCAACACTTGGGGCTCATGACAGTGGTGTCGTGCAGAGGAAAGCAAATAGCCACATAGCGGTGATAAGCCATGACCACAAGGAGGAAGCTCTCCAGAACTCCAAAAAACCGATGAAAGTACATCTGGGCCAGGCAGCCCACATACGGGATGGATGGGTCTTGGTTCTGCATGTTCTGCAGCAATCTGGGCACTGTGACCGAGGAGGTCAGAGAAGGACAAGTTGCTGAGAAACAAATACATAGGCGTGTGGAGCTGGGAGTCCAGTTGAATGAGGGCAATGACGAGGAGGTTCCCCAGGAGGGGGTAAGATACATGGCCTAGAACAGGGCATAGAACAGATTCTGCTGCTCGGGTTGGATGGGCAGGCCCAGGAGCAGGAACTCTGAGATCATGGTTTGGTTCTTCTTTGTCATTCTGTGACTCTATTATCCTTAAGAAGAATGTAATGCACCTTAACACCTACAGGTAACCAATAAACATATCTCTATAATGTGTGGCCTATTTTCAAAGAGACCATGAATGAGAATTTAGGCACAGGTGGCAGACTGGCCTCTGAACCCCATCATCTATTGAAATTGCCCAGTGGAAGCCAGTGATGACTCTACATTCCCATCTCTAAATCCAATAACCTATCACATTTAACACTAATGATCACTTCCTACTTCATGATACCCTCCCCTCACTTGGCCAGGTGACACTCTCCCTCCCTACTTTGCCATACTTCACACTCTCCTTGGACAATTGCTCCTGTTTCATTATTTTTGAGTATTGGTGCTTCTCAGAGTACTGTCCTTACACATTTCCCAAATATGCCAGTGAGTCCCAAATGTACTTCTTCAACCCACACCGTTCCTCTGAGCTACAGACCTGGATGTTTAGCTCCCTGATGACCATCTTATTTGCATGTTTCATGGACATCCCAAGCCTCATCTTTCTGATACTAAGTCTGCTGTCTTCCCTGCCCCAGGTGTGTTCCACTCCAGTATTCTCTCGCTGCCTATGCCATCTACGGGGTCCCCAAGCCAGAAACCTGACAGTCATCCTTGACTCCTGCCTGCCCCTGATTCAATTACCACATCTGATCAATTCCTCCTTCTAAACATCCCTCCTTACACTCACTGCGTGCACCCCACAGCCACCTTTCAGGTCAGCTACTTTTCTCACCTGCACCACTGACGCAGATGTGGTCTCCAAACATCTACTTTTGCTCTCTTTAAATCTACTGACTTGAGGCCGGGCGTGGTGGCTCACTCCCATAATCCCAGTACTTTGGGAGGTTAAGGTGGGTGGATCGCCTGAGGTCAGGAGTTTCAGACCAGCCTGACCAACATGGGGAAACCCTGTCTCTACTAAAAAAAAATACAAAAAAATTAGCTGGGTGTGGTGGTGGGCACCTGTAATCCTGGCTACTCGGGAGGCTGAGGCAGGACAATCACTTGAACCCAGGAAGCGGAGGTTGCAGTGAGCCGAGATCGTGCCACTGCACTCCAGCCTGGGTGACACAGCGAGACTCCATCTCAAAAAAATAAAAATAAAAATAAAAATAATCTATTGACTTTATCCTGAATCATCCTTTTTGTAACTCAAACCTGCTCATGTCACCATCTAATTTAAGAGTTTTTCATTTCTGTTAACATAATGTCCAAAGGAGTTAAAATGAACCATAAGACCCTGTTTTACTGGGTGAACTCTCTCCTGCTTACTTCTCTCTCTCTCTCTACTCCACGAACAATACTGGATTTCTCCCAGTATCTCAAAAGCATCTGCTCTCACCCACCATGATATATCACAGTACCATTGCCTTGAACATGCTGTCTCAACCCCATTCCATCCCTTCTCCTGGAAACTCATCCTTTAGATCATTAACTATGGGATCATTTTTTCTTTGCTAGACTTTAATAATTGAGACAATATCTATCTTGTTCACCGATGAACCTCAACATCTACAGCAATATGTGCCACAATATATATATTTGTGCTACCTAAGAGACTACTGTATTATTTCAACAGAAACCAAAACCACTGGAGATTAGAACATCTGCTGCCACCAGGCCTTTCCAAATCAAGAATTCCTTCTTATAAATCCTTTGTTTTGATTTCTAGGTAACTGCACTGTAGGTTTGCCAGCTTCATTCTAAAATATTACCCCATCCACAGCTACCCTGTAACATGGCTTAATGCCAGCCTACTCAGTCAACAAGGCTATGATTTCTTTTTCTTGCGATTCAGCCTACCCAATATCAAGATACTGATGTGGGCAGAAATGAGACTGATGTGGAAGTTTAAAGATCATGGGAAGGCCAGGCGCGGTGGCTCACACCTGTAATCCCAGCACTTTGGGAGGCCGAGGTCGCCTGAGGACAGGAGTTCGAGACCAGCCTGACCAATATGATGAAAGCCCATCTCTACTAAAAATACAAAAATCAGCCAGGTGTGGTGGAGGGCACCTGTAATCCCAGCTACTCGGGAGGCTGAGGCAGGAGAATCACTTAAACCCAGGAAGTAGAGGTTGCAGTGAGCTGAGATTGCGCCACTGCACTCCAGCCTGGGCAACAAGAGCAAGACACTGTCTAAAAAAAAAAAAAAAAAAGTTCATGGGAAAAGGATTAAGTACATTTCCAGTCTCTCAGACCTAGCTCCTGGTCTCCTCCAGATTCCTCTCTCACACTGCAATCCTGAGGAGTTTTCAGAACTTCTACAAACCCTGAAGATACAGAAGGGACCCTCGTTACAGGATATTTAACAGGATCATGGGGGGTTAACCCAGCCAGATTAATGTGTACGGGAAAAGAAAAGATATGGTGCTGTGATTTACTGATGAGAAGAATCTATCTTTGATTCTCTGGGAATTTCCATCCTGGGAACTAAGTTGGTACCATCTCTTTTTAAAATGTGTGATTATGGACCCCCTATCAGTCAGATATCACAAATGCTGCCGTTGAGATGAGGCATATGGGCTTTGGCTGCTCTTTTCATTTCTCTGCATCTTAACATCTTCAGCTGTAAAATAGGAATACTGACTTAACCCTGCTGACGGCACAAAGCAGCGATAAAGTTGAAATCTCTTCTGAAAATTCCTTCCTTACATGACTCCATTATGTAACACAGTTGACCCTTGTACAACACAGGGATTAAGGGCACCAACCTCTGTGCTGTCGAAAATACACAAATACATTCTGACTGCCCCAAAACTTAACTACTAATAGCCTGCAGTTGACCGGAATCCTTACAGATAACATAAACAGTCGATTAACACACATTTAGTATGTTATATTCTTACAATAAAGTAAGCTAGAGAAAAGATGTTACTGAGAAAATCATAAGGAAGATGAAATATATTTACTAATCATGAAGTAGAAATGGTTCAGCATAAAGCTCTTCATCCCTGTTGTCTTCATGTTGAGTAGGCTGAGAAGGGGGGTTAGTCTTGCTACTCAGGGTGGCAGAGGCAGAAGAAAATCTAAGTGGACCCACACAGTTCAAACCTGTGTTGTTCATGGGGCAACTATACTTATGAATACTATTTTAAATAAAGAAATTGAATCTGGTAAACAACAATCTAGATTATTTCTAGAATGTTCAACAGGAATTTGGATTTTACAGTGCCTAAAGAACAGTCCCACATAGTCACACCATAGAATGCTAGTAATCAGAACCCTAAGGTTGGAAGGACCCACAGGGACACAGCTTCCAGCCTAACTTACCAGGTATGTCTGAAAGGAATCCCGAGGCCTTGACCTGGGAGCCTTCGCTCTTTTCTGCACGTTTGATACATGGAGATGCAGCCTCTGTCGTCATCATCTAAGTCCACCCCGTCCCTTCACACATCTCCCAGTCTATGTTTCCCAGGTTCTAGACACAGTAGGTCCCAGTGGACCCCAGGCCCTGGTGAAACTTATTAACAACAAGCAAAGTAATTGCCCATGATCCCCTGGGACCAATCTCCTAGGAGGTCTAGAGCAGGCACTACTTTATAGCTGCCCATCCTGGGGTAGGAGAACAGGCAGAAGAGGAAGCAAGATCATCCCCAAGTCCCACCAGGGATGCTGTTCAGACCACAGCAGTCCACAGGATCTCTTCCTTGTCTGCATATTTCTTTATTTTATTTTATTTTTTGAGATGAAGTCTGGCTCTGTCGTCCAGGCTGGAGTGCAGCAGCATGATCTCAACTCACTTCAACCTCCGTCTCCTGGGTTCAAGTGATTCTCCTGCCTCAGCCTCACAAGTAGCTGGGATTACAGGTGCCCGCCACTGCTTTTTTTTTTTTTTTTTTTTTTTTGAGGCTGAGTCTCGCTCTATTGCCCAGGCTGGAGTGCAGTGGCACAGTCTCTGCTCACTGCAACCTCCACCTCCCAGGTTCAAGCGATTCTCCTTCCTTAGCCTCTCAAGTAGCTGGGACTACAGGCACCCACCTCACGCGTGGCTAATTTTTGTAGTTTTAGTAGAGATGGGGTTTCACCATGTTGGTCAGCCTGATCTTGAACTCCTGCCCACGTGATCCACCTGCCTTGGTCTCCCAAAGTGCTGGGATTACAGGTGTAGGCCACTGCACCCGGCTAATTTTTGTATTTTTAGTAGAGATGGGATTTCACCATGTTGGCCAGGGTGGTCTTGAACTCCTGACCTCAGGTGGTTCCCCCACCTTGGCCTCCCAAAGTGCTGGGATTACAGGTGTGAGCCACCATGCCCGGCCCAAATATTTCATTCTTTTAATTCCTAAAATATTTGCTTTCTAAAATCTAATGAATTGCTCTGTGTTGTCCAATTATTACTTCAAAAATGTTATCCTAAAATGAAGAAAGAAAAGTTCTTTATTGATCAACTAATTCAATCATCCAGTCCCATCATGTATGTCTGCTATATTTAGGAAAACCCATTTTGAGTTATTTCCACACATCCCTCATCCCTGAATGTTGAAATCTAATCCCAGTCTCTAAACACAATACAACTGCTACCTCCACACAATTACATCCCAATTTCTCCCGGCCATATATGACAACTTTATCTTGGGTCTTTATGGGTTAAGAGGGTGTAAAAAGATAAATGGAGAAAAAGTGGAGTTCTGAGAAAAGTAACTACATTTGCAAAGACTCAAGAGGTCAAGACAACATGGCATACTCAAGAAACTAAAGGACGTTCTGTGTCCAGACGCGTGCTGTGTGAAGGAGAGAACTCAAGGGGAGAAAGAGCGCCAGGCAATGTCCTGCTCCTACAAGGCCTTGTGAGATGCGGTCGGCAGCACCACCTTCATCCCA